CCTGGTATGCCTTGCAGAATTGGTCCTTACACTGAATGCATTCTCATTCAATAACCTCTTTTACCAACAGGTGAGTGGAGTTGCACCAGCTTAGGACAGGCTTAGGAACCAAGCTATGCCAATATTTTTGTCGGCTGGATATAAGAACGCTTTTTCGCTTCCCACACTGGCTATGTCCCTGACCTCTACAAGCGATACATTGACAGCTGCGTCGGTGCCGCCACATGCTCAAACGACCAGCTTGATTGCTTTCTGCATCATTTCACCAACTTCCACCTGTCCCTCAAATATACAGTTAACGTATCTTCCACTACTCTTGCGTTTCTAGACATCAACTTCTCCATCAACTACCCCCGACTCTCCACTTCGGTTTATTACAAACCCACGGATTCACACAGCTATCTCCTGTATAACTCATTTCACCCCAAACACACTAAAAACTCTCTCCTTTTTTCACAGTTCCTTCGGCTACGACGATTATGCAACAACTTCGACTTCCAGAACCAAGCCCTCAAAATGTACTCCTTTTTCATCAACAGAGGATACCCCAGCAGTGTTATTGACAGGGCCCTTGCCCGAGCCAAAAACACCCTCCGGACCATCAACTTAATCAGGAACCCCGCCGCAACAACCACATTCCTTTGGTGCTTCCCTACCACCCCAACAAACTTCCTATCTCCAGGACCATTAACGATAACTTTTCCATCCTACAGGATGATCTCTCCGTTGGGGCCCTCTTTTCTGACCACCTACGCATGTTGACGCAGCTACCCACCTGAACTACTACAACACTAAACCTTGCTGCCTCAGACTGGTTATTGCTGTGAGTCCTAACAGCCATAAAAGAGCTTTTACAATATAATGTTCAAATTTATAATTGTTTCAGCACCTAAGAAACCTTCATATCACAGCAGATCTAGCAAAAAATTTAAGAATGTTTCATGGCACTGTGCTCTTCTATTTTTTAAAAAGGTCTATATCTCCTGTTTCTGCAATTCAATCTCAAATTCTGATGTGACCAGTTTTAGGCTTTACTGTGAGCACTACATAATACTCCAGCCATGCTGCCTGCAATATGAAAGACCTCAATGAGAGTTTCAGCTCTATGTTTAACTGCATTCAAACCAGTGAGAGACGGGTCAAATGGAGGTATAATTCACAAACTCTATATTTTCAACCATCCTGTTATTATCGCCGGCTTGTAGTTTCTAAAACGATGCAATCTTTGAGGTAAAAGATTTAAACATTATCTAACACTCCTTCAGATACCTTTTGGCCAATATTTTAGCATGGAGAACCTAAGCTTTTTCAATTGAAAATCCTTGATGATTTTCCAATGTTCAGTTCACAACCCCATTATACAGGTTTCTCAAAACTATACAGATGCAGCCATTCAAAACGAGCGGGGTACGCTGTGGTACAACGTGTTGGGTGTGTTGCATACAATTTCGCGTCATACCGTAGTTTACCATATGCAAATTAGATTATGTTAATAGTATCCGGAATCACCTTGTAAAACTGCCTGGTGGAGCTAATAAAGCTTAACCTCTCATGTACAGCATTTGAGCTGTCAACAGAAAACACCTGGTTTCGAATCCCAATCACTGCTGAGGGACGATCTTTATTCAATTAAGAATTCAAGTTGTATACTCTTTAGACTTTTATATTTAAACTGTGTGTTACAGCATGTTTATCATTATACATTGAAAAGCGATGGGCAAGAGCGGTCTCGCCCCCCTCCCGACCAAACAAACATTTGTGTCTTATCGTTATTAAGTTCTTTAGATACGCGATTCCATATCATATTCCCTATTAATCCAATTCTAAAAGTATGCTTTTGTTTACTCCGATAACGGGCATATTCGCAGAAAAGGTTAAAATGATAAATTTTCACAAAGTGTATAAACATACAGTAATATGGTCAGGAGCAAGTAAAAACATTTAAAAAATAACCACATGTAAGACTTTGATGCTTAAAATGTTCAGGGAGAAATGGAATACTGGTGTGTATTTTTTCTTTAAACTACCAATATCAGCAATATACAGTTTACATAATATGTTTATGTTCCTAAATTAATATCGTTAATGACCTTCAGATGCATTATGCTCCTCTTCTTTTTATGCTCAGCTACTAAAATTTCCCTTTAGTTGTAAAATTCCATATAAATATTCAATACTAAGCGGATTAAAACGTGCACAGTAAAGAGATTAAATGATTAAATCTTTCCACTACTGACCAATGCACCACAAGTGCCCCTGTCAGTCATTTTGGCCAGCCAATCATGTACCGCAGTATGACATAGGTAGTTGCCTGCAGTACGGGTTTGTACCGCGCACTTTGAATGGCTGCATCTGTATGTAGTTGACCTGAAACTAAAATAAGGAACATCTTCAGTGCTGTTAATGAAATGGTTATGCCTGAACTGTCAGGTTTTCTTATTTTTTAGTTGTTATGCAACTTTCTCCTCAGTCACATTTGTTTACATTCTTGTACAGGGAAGTTACAGATATAAAATTATTTAATTTTATCTGCTTCGTTGGAATAACAGCAACTCCTTT